ATGGCGGCTGTGCCGGGGAAGGGGCTGCAGGCCTGGAGCGGGTGGGGAGGCCCGGCTGCGTGCCGGCGAGCTGGAGGAACCCTGAGAGGCCCAGAGGCTTCGAGCGGAGAGCTAAAGCAGCCTTTTGGGGGGCGGTGGAGACGTAGGGAGAGTTGTGTGGGGATGGAGAAAGGGGCGGGAGAAGAGGTTAGGGAGGAGGGGAGAGGGTAATGAAAAAGGCGGACGGGGAAGGATAGGTAGGCTCTTTGTAGGTAACAAGGGAACGGGGGAGGTGGGGTTTGTGAGGTGTGATAGGAAAGTGCTCGCAGCGAATGCAGAGAGAATGTTCCCATCCGAGTATCCCTGGACTGGGCCCTTCTCAGCTCCTGTACTTCCGCCCCATTATTTAGGTTCTGATTATGTGTGGAAGGCTCATAGGTTATACAGAGCTGATCTTTTGTTATTCTATTCCAGGGGAGCAGATGGACCCTACTGGTAGTCAGTTGGACTCAGATTTCTCTCAGCAAGATACTCCTTGCCTGATAATTGAAGATTCTCAGCCTGAAAGCCAGGTTCTAGAAGATGATTCTGGTTCTCACTTCAGTGTTATTTCCCGACACCTTCCGAATCTACAGACCCACAAAGAGGACCCTGTATTGGTAAGTGATAACTTGTTTGAAACAGATTTGAGTTTTCTAATGTGGACCAACCAGCAAAGATAAGTAGCTTGAGGATCATTTTTGGATACACTTGATTGGGACAATGAAATAAACAGTCACAAAAAGTGTGTTTCATTTTGGAAGATTTATATGTTGAGTGTACATTATACATGTATATTTTCTAGGATGTTGTGTCCAATCCTGAACAGACAGCTGAACAGGGAGACCAAAATAGTGGGCTGAGTGAACATTTGAAAGAAAACAAGGCTACAGGTGAGGCTTTTGGTGTTTTTTTGTTTGTTTATTTCTTTCTTTTTTGAGACAGGGTCTCACTGTCGAGTTCAAACTGGCTTTCACCACTGTGTAGCCCAGCTGTCTTTGAACTTGCGGTGATCCTCCTGCCTCAGCCTCTTGAGTGCTGGGATTATGGGTATGTGACACCACAGCAGCAAGTGAGGTGTTTAAAGACGTCCATTCCCTTTGCATTTTTGTAGGTGCTGTTGGATGGGGGTGGAGGGTGGTTTGAACATTAAAGGCTTGTGGTGATATTATATACACGGGAAGGTTTCATGCAGTATGTAGTAAGCATTCAAATTCATGATGTTGTACTGTGGCTGACTAGGTTGGTATTGTGCGTATTCCTTAATTTGTGTTAAAGTTTAGTGGTAAGTGCCTCTTGTGCTAATCCAATCTTTT